GGGTGCGCGCGATAAGAGCATGACATCAAAGCAAAATTGTAACTCATCAAATCACGACATGTGGCAAATATTGATCAGATAATAATGACATGTATTGAAAATAAAAATAAAAATGGAAAACGGACAAAAAAATTGTCAACCACCTAACCAAATAGTAAAAAGTAAAAAAATTTTATAGTTCAAACTAATTAGAAAAGAAAAAAATTCTAATTGTCCAAACTAATTAAATAAAAATTATAATAGTTCAAACTAATTATAAAAATAAGTTAAAAAAAATATAGACAGAGTATAAACCATAAGAAAATAAAAAGTAGAGAGAAAAGAAAAATTTCTATTAAAAAAACGAAAAGAGTGAATCATAAAAGCTATTTTATAAATTGAAAAAAAAAAATTAGAATTAATATGGAAATCTCAATTTAAAAGTTTAAGATATGCACAACCATAACTAAGAAACAAAAAAATCAATAAAGATATTTATTTTGTCAATATAGTTATAGAACATCACAAAGAAAATAAAAAACTTCTACTTATGACGGTATTGGTACTTTTTATTGTTAAAAGATATTGTATAAAATGAAAATTTATGTACATTTATCAATCATGTATTTATATGTGATGTTTGATAAAACCGTTTTATAATACATTATATAGATTTTTATGAGATTATTCACATGATTTTTTTTTCACTTTTTACATATGGGTATGCATAATATAAATGACGACATGAGAATTAAATATAAATTAATCTCTAATAATTTAATATCCATATTTAAATAGTATTTTAAAATATGTTTGTAGTTCAGCGGATTACTAACTAAAACTTAAATATTTATATTAACAGTTTCTAATATGCTTATCCGTGTATCAACGTGGGTCCTAATCTAGTATATATATATAAGGATATTTGCAAAAATTCCACACATTGGTTCTCTCTTTTCAATAATACCACACACGCATACCTTCTTGCAAAAATGCCACCATTCATTAAACCAAAAGTCAAA